CATCGTCGTCTCTTGCTCGTTTCAAGAAAGGTGTCAAATAAATAACTGTTGTTCATTACAACTTAAATGGTGCTGTTTGTTGCTGGTCGTTTTGAGTTGTGGGCCTCTGCTAATAAAATGTGATTTAAAAATAATATATCCACATTATTTGGTCATCAATGACAGAAATGATCAAATATCATCATTATCAAAATCATTCATCATTGATCATCCCTATGGCCGGGAGTCGGTCCTCCCCTGGATCACTGCAGATCGCCGCCACGTGGTGGCGCCACAGCGCTTGGGATGCATCTTGGGGGCTCGCTGGAGTCACGTGGTGCTGCCCGCCCCCCTCCGCCTCACTCCCTCCCCAGGGCAAAACCCTTACGATGCTAACATTTGATGGAACTTAAACAAACTCTAAGCTCGTTAATTAAAATGCGATTAATCGTTTAAAAAAGTTACGAATGGACGAGGTGTGGCGGCTGAAGTTTGCGCCCCGTGATGTGTTCTTTGCACACCGCAATTCCGGGGATGTTTCTGGATCCGCTGCACAATTCTTCGGCGGGGGGTCCCAAATCTGTGCAAGGGGTTTATGTCCGGTTTAACATCCGTGTGTGTGTGTGTACATTGCGATCTTTTGGTTATGGTTTTAGAATATGGATGGAGTCATTTCCAGATGTTGGGGACTATCGGATTTGAAAACGCGACTGTGGGATGTGTTTAACCCATCTGGGACCTTTGTGAGACCCTTTTGTGTAAAAAATAAAGGGGATCTTTCAAAACCTGTGAAATCTGTAGCTCATATAATTTCGAGATATTTTAATATTTACAAAATCGATGCTGACATTCTGGACATATTGAATGGTTGTACCGTCCCGTTCATTCCTGCATGTGATGGTAGCAGCAGTGTGTTCAGGAGCTCGCCTGCCGGAAGAGCTCACCGATAGATAAAAAAAAAACTGTGCCCCATATCTTTTAAGGATCCGTGAGCTGCCCACACAATCCAGTCTGGTTAAACCCAGGAAGGATCGTAGGCAGGCCAACCTAATTGTCTCAAGCCGGCGCGAGCGTTCCTGTTAAGGACCCCACGTGCCGCAAACACAGAGCAGTTGTTGTATCTGATAAGACCCGGAGCTTCGTGTGGAGCGACAAGCTAGTCAGCTTCTACACAACGTTACTCACTTAGTTGATGATGAAAAGATAACTCGGCTAGACTGATTCGCTGCCAAACTGGAGCTTGTCGTGACACACTTCCCAAGTATGGGCACTCCTCCAACTTCTTCACTCCCGCTCTCGACTCAGAGAGAGAGAAAGTTGAAGGGGTGGAATGCTCAGGTGCTTGGTTTTGGTGGAGCTGATAGCTCTTTGTAGCACGCTCCAGATTCAGCCTCCCATTGTATCGACAACAGACAGGAGTTTCCTTGGTTTGGCCATGTTTGTTTGATGTAGTACGGAGTTCGACTGATGGCCTTAATCTAAGTTGTCTTGTAGTTGTTGTTGTTTGACTTGCATCCCACTGGGATTTTTGCACACAGCGTTGGTGTACGGTGCCTTTTTTCTGGAATTTTTGCAGTTTTTTCCCCTGGATTTTCAGTTTGCACATAGTCACTTTAAGATGTTTTCTTGTTTTTGTTTTTTGTTTGTTGCGGTTGCACCCGATTCAAGAGCCGAATGGCTCACAGGGCTATACCTAATAAATGAACTTGAAACTTGAAGCAATGGAAAGTTCCTCAAATTACGTGGCCAAAGAAGATATTAAATGGTGTAGGGGTCAGAGGAAATCCCTGTCGCACGCCAAGGTGAACAGGGATGGCTCGGACTCCTGCCCACCCTCGTGAATGTGTGAGCATTGCTGGGCTTGCCTCCCCAGGAAAGCCACACCGGGTTTCAAGAGCAATTGGCAGATACTATTTCAGCATTTGGCCAATACCAGTGATACTGTGTGTTTAACGACGTCGTTAATGAAGGATCCTTAAAGATCGTAAACTACGGGCCAGTGACACCAAAAGCCAAAGCATTCGGTCCTTGATGGTGTCGTCGGTCATGACTTGGCCAATAATACATTGGGGTGGGCCCTGTGGACATTTCCTACACACGCGCGCCTGTGCAAGTGCTGGGAGCGAGTGGCACTACAACAGGCGGAACGCGATGTTTGTACACCGTACTACGTACTCATTTGAGACCGAGACGACCTAGGCGGGACCCAGGATGGGCTCATATAAGTGTTGGCCACAGGCAGGAATCGAGAATTTAAGGCGCAGGGTTCATAAGCGCAATACCACTGCGCACTGCTGTAGACACACAAAGATAAAGATCCCCCATATAGCCTTAACGGACTGTAGGGGCAAGTGCTGTTAGCGAGCACCTGAAGGCCGGAACGGTATACGAAGGGGCGAGTGGCCAGCACCACGTCCGACCGCCTTTGTCTCCCCAGTGGCGATGTTTACACACCGCAACAGATACTCATTTGAGGCTGAGTCGACCTAGGGGAGGCCCAGGACCAGTTCAGATAATCGTCACTAATGTTGGCCGTGAGCGGGAATCAAACCCGGATCGCCGGGTTCATAGCGCAGTGCGCTAACCGCTACACTACCGCTCCCCACTTGCACCTGCAGACACACGCACCTGCACACAATGCATGCGACAATCAGCGAGGAAAAGACGCGGCGGCAGAGGGAGGCGGCTGGGAGGGAGGCGCTCGGGATGGATAGACGTGAATGGCGGGACGGGGGTGATTGAAAGTGCGTTGCCAGCATCTGTGGAACGAATTTCCACGCGACCCAGAATTCGAGTTCAAGGGCCATTTCTGGGTTGGTTGAAACGAGGGAGTGGCGTTTTCACGACATGCCGAGTGACTCGGTATTCCAGGTGAGCAGAGCCCCTCTCTCACAGCAGTCCTTCCGAGTGAGACTTCTCCAGGAATACTTGCCGAAGGTCAGGACCCGAATGCGGACAGTAAATGTAAAAATTGTGTTGAGAGCCGCTTTTGATTAGGAGCTTGGATAATTCCTCTTGTTAGTCCCTTGGAATTGACACCATTGGGGGCACGAGTGGTGCCTTCACCAACATCTCCACCTCACTGTCTGTCGCTTCGTCTATCATCGAAGGCAGCTTCTTTCCCGTTCAGCGTTTGATGTTGGACATCCACTCAGATCCAGATCTCCCCCTTCTTCGAGCACCTTCCAGCGTTCCCTCCGTGGCCGTCTTCTGCAGCCGGTCACCATTCACTCTGGTCACGTGTCCGAATCACTGCAGTGCCCCGTTGTCCATCCGCCGCACGTCTGATGCTGTGTACCAACAAAAGTATTATTTTATTGTTCCTGGGTAGTAAGTGTTATTTCCTAATTGCTTATGCCTCAAAAGTACAGAATATGGCTCCTATTCCCCACAAACTTTGCTTTTGTGACCAGGACAGTGATATTTTGAAATTGATCTATTTTCAATGAGAAAACGTGTGCATTTGTGTCATTCCTTCACATAAAGTCCTGGTCACAAAAGCAAAGTTTGTGGGGAATAGCCATTTTCTGTACTTGTGGCATAAGCAATTAAAAAATAACACTTAGTACCCAGAAAAAATTGTGTTACATAGTGAATTAGCACGGTCGGCTACGTACAGTGCGAAAGAAGTTCAACACACTGTACCCGACCTGGCCGAGAAGAAGCGAGTCTCCCGTCTGTGCCCCCCAGGGCTCCCTTGCTCGTCTCACGCTCTTTGTAAGACATGTCAGGATTCTCTGGCAGGCTTTCATTTCGAAGGCAGCAATTCTCCTCTCCGCGCGGTCAGAGTTCCTACCCAGGAAATCGAGGACAGAGAATTGGGGGGGGGGGGGGCTGCATTACGAATTCACCGCCAAACTCGAGGCGACGGGACCCCCCAAATCCGCGTTGCGAAGAGTGAAAAACCTCGGAGGTTCAACTCCCCCGAGTTTTTAGCGGCTCTCGGAAAACTCGGGAAACGGAGGGGAGGCGGGTGGGGCGACAGACGACATGAAAAGTCAGGGAGACGGGGAGGGAGCGAGGGAGGGAGAAGACGGGGAGGGAGAAGACGGGGAGGGAGGGAGACACGTGCCGTGGAGCGGGGATGGGTTGCGGTGGCCGGAAAGGGCCGTTTCCTCCCTGTGGGAACGGAGCCGCGGGTCGTGGGGGGGGGGGGGGAGGCCCGGTGTCGAGGGGGGGCGGCGGGCGGGGACTCCGGCCCAGATTCAGCCATCGAGTGTTGCTGCCATAGCCATGCTCCCTACCCTCCTCTTTGTGCAATGACCCCCGACACGTAACCCTGCCCTGTTACCCGTTCCACAATCCTGCCCTCGGCTCAACAACCATGCTCTTGGTGCCCTGTCCTCCTGCTCAATGCCCCATGCCCTCTCCTCGCCCACAGCAGCAGCAGCAGCAGCACCGCACGTTGTCCACCAGGTCACACAGGTGACCTTACGCTGTGGGCGGGGGGGGGGGTGTGGAAGTTTGACCTCACGTGGAGGAACATGCGAGAGTGGGAGTGGCGAGACGCACGACACGGAAATGCAGGGAGATTGAGGGAGATGACGGAGACGCGAGCATTGAGTGGAGATGAGCAAGGCAGACGAGACAGCCTCGAGGGAGACGCAGAGACCCAGGGGAACATGTTGACTCCGAGTAGGGGGGGGGGGGGTATGAGAGAGACTAAGACTCCTGGAGAGAGGAGGAAGAGAAACATGGCACTTGAGGGAGAGCAGATGAGGGCGGCGCGGAGGAGAATGGCCGAGGGAGACACGGACACGAGACGGAAACCTCGAGAGACAGACCCACGCGGGAGATGAAGACATTGGAAGATGCCGGGAGAGACTCGAGGACATCTTAAAGAAGACAGAGACGCAAGGGAGAGGATGGAGACAAGTCCGGAGGGAACATCAGCGCACAACTAAGACGATCCGGAGACGCTACCAGAGATACAAAGACGTTGGAGAGAGAGAGACAAAGACTCTGAGCGACGCGGAAACGGGAGACCCCGAGACGCCAGGAGAGACGCGCGCAGGAAGACTCGGGGACGCGCATTGCACGGGTATAATCATTTATTTATTTATTTCTATAGGAAGCAACCCCCCGCCCGGGGCCCCTCCCTCCTCAAGCACAGAGCGCAGGGCCCCCGGGGAGCGGGGGGGGGGGGGTCTGCCTCTCGCATACATCTGTAAAATAAATATTATAAAACTTTGGAATAAATATTTCTCTTTACACAGGAAAACGACGACGAGAGGGGGGGGGGGGGCCCGCCCGGGACCCACGGAGGGGCCCCTACCCGGGGGGCCCAAGACCCTGGATAGCGCGGCCAAGGGCCCTGTACCCTGAATAGTGGGGGCCCACCGGGGTGGAGGAGGCTCCTCTAGTGGTATGGGGGGCCGCACCGCATCCAGTGGAGCCGTGTGGGGGGCTACACAGGGAGGTGTGTGTGGGGGGCACCCTGTAGTGGTCGAGGGGGGAAGGGGGCGATGGGACCCCTGTAAAGGTGCGGGGGTCCTTGCGGCGGGGGTCGCTACGGGGCTCATCGACCCCCGTCGAGGTGTGGGGGGATGTGGGGGCTCTAGAGGTAAGGGGCCCCCCCCCCCAGGGCCCCCCCCCCACCCCCTGGAGGACCCCTGCAGTGGTCGGGTGAGCTCTGCCGCGGGGGTGAAAGAGGGGACACGAGTCACGTGCCGCCAATATATACTGTGTATACTGTAATATAGACTGTATATGGCACCGACTGCAGCGTCGTGCATGCGCACAACGCGCGGCGGTCACGGGCGTCGCATGCGCCCACGCCGCGCGGCGCTTCCCGTCACAGTTTGCGAGCGCCCGTTCCTCGTCCGCCCGTCGAGCTCGCCGGCTCGTCGCCGCGCCCTCCCCTCCCTCGGGGTCCCCGCGTCTCTCGGCGGGCCCGGCGGGCTGGCGGGGGGCCGGGGCGGTCGCTCAAGCGGGCTTCTCGGCGGCGGGAGACTGCGCCGGCGCGGCCCGATCGGAATCGGCGTCGTTTCGCCGGCGCCGACATCGGCAGCCGGGCCTCTGCAGGCGGTCGTACGCGGCGCGCGCCAGCTTGAGCGCGGCGCGGCCCGGCGGGTAGCACAGCAGGCAGGGCAGCGCCAGCGAGAGGGCGCCCAGGCAGGCCCAGCGCGGCACGCAACCCGCGCGCCGGCACGAGCACGGGTTGTCGGCCCACGAGTCCCCCGAGTCGCCCACGTCGGTCTGCGGCGAGCAGTGGTAGAAGAGCGCCTTGACGCAGCACAGGCACGTGCACGACTCGAGCAGCGCGCCCGCCGAGCACAGGCAGCGCTTCTCGCACAGCCAGCACGCGGGCAGCGAGCGCCTCGTGGAGCCGCACTCGCCGCACGCGCACTTCCCGCACCGCTCGCACGCCGCGTGGCCACGCGCGCCGCCCTCGCCGCCCTCGCCGTTCGTTGGAGACCCCGGCTTCTCGGCCGGCGCCGGCGCCGCCCGCTCGTCCGTCGGACGGGACGGCGCCGCGCCGCCCTCTCCCGCGCCGTCGTCGCCGTCGTCGTCGCCGGCACCGCCTCCGCCACCCCCCTCGCCGCCCTGCGGCTGCCGCTTCACCACGAGCGCCGCCGGCGCCGCGTCCGGAGTAGCCGGGGGGTCCGTTGGGGCGCCGGCGGGGGACGGCGCGGGGCCCAGGTGCGGAGGTGACGGCGGTGCCGGGGGCAGCAGGCGCTGCTCGGAGCACGTGCTGCCGGTGCTCGTGCGAGCGCTGCTGCTCTTGGAGCACGTGCTGCCGGTGCTGGTGGACCGTGCCACGCGCCCCGCCAGCGCGACCGGCTTGTGCGGCGGGGAGCCGGCGCGGTGCTGGTGTTGTTGCTGCTGCTGCTGGTGGAGGGGCAGCGGGCCCCGTGGAGCGCCTGCCCTGGCCGCCGCAGGCCCCGTGGCGGGCCCCGTGGCGGGTCCCGTGGCGGGCCCCGTGGCGGGTCCCGTGGCGGGCCCCGTGGCCGTTGTCGTCCCCGGGGGCCCGTCCGTGTAGTCGTTGCTCGCATTCGCGGGTCTAATCTGGCCGAGGGAGAGCACGGGGGCCGGGGCGCCATCGGTGGTGGTGCCATCCAGCAGCGGGGAAGCCTCTCCTCGCTGACTCCTGGGATCCATGGCGGCCCCGGATCATTGGCGCTGCGCTCCTGCAGCCACACGTCGACAGCCGTGAGCGAGCGCCTGTCACGGCACAGCGGAGCGCGCGAGAGAGGGTGGTGTGGCACAATGGTTAGCGCTCTGCACTATGAACCCAGTGACCCGAGTTCGAATCCTGCTCACGGCCAACACCAGCAACGATTATCTGAACTGGTCCTGGGCCTCCTCTAGGTCGACTCGGTCTCAAACGAGTAGATGGTACGGTGTGTAAACATCGCCATTCGGTAGACAAAGGCGGCCCTCGTGAGCTGTGTTGGCCTTCATGGGTGCTCGCAAACAGCACTTGCCCCAACAGTCTGTTAAGACTACATGTGGGAGCCAGTACCACATTGTCTTACAAACGCATGGGGAAGAAGATCAGGTTGAGATGCCACATTCCACTCACGTCGTCTCCAATTACATTTGTTGCTCATATAAATGCAAAACAACTAATTCCAGTATTCTCAATTCACAGCTGGATGAAGGCCTTCCCCCACACACCGTGCCGGGGATGACGCGAGTTTTTTTTTAGCGTACCTCACCGCGCTGGTTCTTGCTGGTTGGTATCAGCGGTGGGGGGGGGGGGGGGGGGGAGGTCAGGACCAGTTCTGATATCACTTCGCCATAGCTGTGAGCGGGAATTGAACTCTGATCGCTCGGTTCACGGCACCGCGCGCTCACCACCGCACCCACCCGTCTATCCAAGTCGACATGATTTTGACAAAATCTGAGCAACACAAAAACAGCCATGTTGTACGGCTCAGCCTCCATAGGACGCGGCGGTGGCAACAACAAGAGACAAGTTATATAAAACAACAAGCCCCGCAGAGATGCGACGCAACAGTGGCCACACGTTAGGTCCCGTTATCTCCAACTTCATAGCCGCACGATTCGAGACCAGCATCGACGGGCCAGGTCTGGAGAACCACGTGCATGCGCCGTCGCACCATCCCACAGGCACATTTAGCATTTTACATTTAACGAGCGGAGCGCACGGAGCAGTCGTCGGGGAGCCAAATGCCTTCGGATATTTGATGTTAGCCATGGCCGGGAATCGAACTCGGGTCGCCGTGTTCACAGTGCAGTGTGCGAACGACCGCGTCACCACGCCGTCCCCCTGTCCCAGATAATGATTGCACCATGTGAACGATGTACTTGTCAGACCAGGACGTTTCCAAACACACAGCCGCCGCTATGTTCATCATATCTGTGGTTACATTCAGGGCTGTGCGCATTTGCAGGGCCACTGTGGTATTTGTGCGAGTTGCGGTCATTCTCATAGACGATCTCTCCACCCTAGGGTCTTTCTACTCTTAATTCATACGGAACGTTATCCTCTATTCATGCTATTCGGATTTAGTTTGTGCCCATGTGACATTTCTTAAGAGCAGTGCTTTTCTGCCTAAGCGCCCTCCTAACGGCACGGGCGTTACTACTGCGCCACCCTGCCAGGGTCGAGAGATGTGGGAAGAGCTCTTCCCACAGCTCCGCTATGCAAAGCCCACATCCCTCCATCTGTGCAACATCTCCCACATCTGATATTCCCTACCCCGGCTGTTGCCAAGACCCCATCCACGCCTTCATCATATCCCGACTCGACCGTCGCAGCTCTCTCCACGATGCCCCCCACATCCCTCAACTCCCCAAGTCCCCACGTCCCTCACCCCCCATCCCTCAACTCCCCACGTGCCCACGTCCCTCACCCCCCATCCCTCACCGCTAAACCTCAAATGACTCGCAATGCCACCGCCAGGCGTCCGAGCCCATTCTTCAAATCCCTCGATTGGCTGCCAATCCTGTCCTTCACCGATTACAAAATCACCCTCGCCATCTTCAAGATCGTCCATGGATCCACTCCCACCTCCGTCTCCGATCTCATACCACTTCACACTCCCTCCTCGCTAAAGCCATGACAGTCTTCTGCTGAAACCCTCAACGTCCACTCCAAGGGAGGGAGGTCGCTCCTCCTCCTCTGCCCCTGAGGGTCTGTCTGTGCACGTTCGGGTCATCTTCTTCTGGCCATCCACGGCTCCGGTTGCCTCCCGACTCGCGAGTCGAGGCTCTAGACCAGGAGTGGGGAACGTCCGGCCCGCGGGCCTCATACGGCCCGCGGGCCGTATGAGACCCCGCGAAGTCATTTGGTCTGGCACTGCCAAGGCAACCGCAGGCGGGACTCGAAATTCAATAAATCTAGGAGCAAACCTGGAAAAGCAGTTGCGAGTAGCAGCATCATCAATACCAGCTAACATCACACGCCTCGCCCAAAGAGAAGCAGTTCCAGCCATCGCATTAGGGGTGAGTTAGTTAAATGTTTGTCCAAATGTAACAGGCAAATTTTTAAGTTGATCATTTTGTATGGCCCGTGAATGATGTTGTAAATATCCAAATGGCCCTTGGCAGAATAAAGATTCCCCACCCCTGCTCGAGACACTGGCGCTACACTGGCAATGCTAACCTACCGCGGCAAGAACGTGCCCAGGTTCAATTCCCGTCTCGGGCACCTTTCTGTGTAGAGTTTGAATGTTCTTACCCCATTCTAAATGCGTTTCCTCTGGGTTCTCCGGTTTCATCTCACAGCAAAAAAAATTCTAAATTGACAATAATCACCCTGCTCTTCCCGCCTGCCTCCGACAACCAGGACGCCGCCCTTACCCAGCGTCATCGCGGACATCTCACGGAGCTTGACCTCTGCCTGGCTCGCTGCGGCCTTCAAAGCCCCTCGACGCCTCTGGCGAAATCTCCCCCGAGATGCAGGCGCACGTAGCCCACGTGCAACGGTTAACCCCCGGACACATCGCCTTCTCACTCGGATCGCAGACCCAGGGCTTGCCCCACACACGGACACACACCACACACAAAGATTCCCCGTATGGCCTTAACAGGCTATTGGGGCAAAGTGCTGATAGCAAGCACCTATTAAGACCGACACAGCACAAACAAGTGGGGGGTGGTGTGGCCAGCACCACGCTCTCCGGCCGCATTCGTTTCCCGAGTGGCGATGTTCACACAACACGCACCAGGTACTCATTTGACGCAAGAGTCGACGGAAGAGAGGCGTAGGACCGGTTCAGATATTCGCGTCAGTGGCGTTGGCCTTGAGCGAGAATCGAACTCGGGTCGCCGGGCACGGTGCGCACACAGAGTTGCAGCGTTGGGTATGAAGAAGACGCACGGAGGGGGGCACGGGAGACAAGGCGGGACATCGAGGCGAGTTACAGATGGAGGCGCGTGGAACCCGCTGCGGTGATGGAGCCCCCATCCCCTGTGCTCAGCCCGGCAGCTGCGTGTGCACGCTTGAGTGAGTTTGCACGTGTGTGTGTGTGCACCGAGTGTGTATACGTGCCAGTGCACGTGTTTGTGTGCACTGAGTGTGTGCACTGAGTGAATGCACGTGTGTGTGTGCACTGAGTGTGTGCACCGAGTGTATACACGTGTGTGTGTGTGCTGAGTGTGTACACGCGTGTGTGCACTGAGTGTGTGCACTGAGTGAGTGCACGTGTGTGTGTGTGCACTGAGTGTATACACGTGTGTGTGCACTGAGTGTGTGCACTGAGTGAGTGCACGTGTGTGTGCGCACTGAGTGTATACACGTGTGTGTACACGTCTGTGTGTGTGCACTGAGTGTATATACGTGTGTGTGCACTGAGTGTGTGCACTGAGTGAGTGCACGTGTGTGTGTGAGTGTGTGCACTGAGTGTGTGCACTGAGTGTGTGCACCGAGTGTGTACACCCAGTGTGTACACTGAGTGAGTGTGTGTGCACGTGTGTGTGTGTGCACCGAGTGTGTACACCGAGTGTGTGTGCACGTGTGTGTGCACCAAGTGTGTACACTGAGTGTGTGTGTGTGCACCAAGTGAGTGCACGTGTCGTCGTGGCGAGCAGTGGTGCAGCGATTAGCGCGCTGCGCATCAAACCTCGATTCCCACTCCCGGTCAACACCAGCGACGTTAATCTGAACCGGTACTGGGCCTCACTATGTCGACGTAGCCTCAAATGAGTACCTGGTGCGGTGTGTCAACATCGTATACTGGGAAGACAAAGGCGGCCGGGCGTGGTGCTGGCCACCGACCCCCTTGTGTATCGTAATTGTATCATAGGTGCTCGTTAAATACACTTACCCCAAATCTGTAAAAGAGACTTGCCCTTATTTTGTGTGTGCGTACAGGGTGTGTGGATGCTAGGGTATGTGGTGCGGGTGTACTGTATGTGGCTATGCATGTGTGTGTACCTAACGCGTGTGTGTGTGGTGTGTGTCTGTGTCTATGCACGTGGGGTGTGTACCGGGTATTGGTGCGTGTGTACGTGTCTGTGCCGGAGTTCGCCTGTTTGGGGTCCGTATGTGGGAGAATAATGATCGCGTGTGTACGTTTGGTGAGTATTTATGTGTGTATGTGTAAGGGTGTATTCATGTGTGTGTGTGTGTACGTGCGCGGAGTGTGTGATTCCGTGTGTGCGTGTCTGTTGTGTATTTGTGGGTGTGCATATTCATGAGATGTGTGGGGGGTGTCGTTGTGAGATGTACGTGACGGGTATGCTGATGTGCATCTGTGCGCGCACGTGTGTGGGTGCTCGTGTTGCGTGTGTGTTGTCTTTAGGTCAACTCGGCCTGAAATGAGGATGCTAGTGCGCTCTGTAAACATCAGCCTGGGGGAGACAAAGGCGGCCGGGCGTGGGGCTGGCCACATTACTGCGTATGGTTGTGTGTGTGTGTCCGTGGGGGGCGGTAGTGGAGCGATTCGTGCACTGCGCTGTGAACCTGACGACTATCCGAACCAGTCAAGGGCCACCCCCAAGTCGAATCAGCCTCAAGCGAGTACCCAGTACGACGCGTAACCATCGCCGCTAGGGAGACAAAGGCGGCCGGGTGTGGTGCTGGCCCTACACACCCCCTCGTGTGCTGTGCAGACCTTAGTAGGTGCTTGCTAACAGCGCCTGCCCCAAGTCTACAGAGGGGGGGGGGAGATTTGTGCGCTTAGGAATATGTGTGCATGTGTGTGGGTCTATGTATATGACCGCCTGCATGTGCGTGTGTGTGGGTCTATGTA